CCAGGCCCAATTGAAGGTGCTGGTTATTACCTATAAGGCCCTCAACGGCTTGGGAGCTGGATACCTAAAGGAGCGCCTGCGTCCATATTTGCCCACCCGCCCCCTGAGATCAGCAGCAGAGGCCCTCCTCCAGGAGCCCTCTGTGAAAGACATCAGGAGGCAAAGTACCCGGAGGAGGGCTTTCTCTGCGGTGGCGCCCCGCCTATGGAATGCGCTCCCCAGAGAGGTCCGCCTGGCGCCGTCGTTATTTGTTTTTCGGCGCCAGGCTAAGGCCTTTTTATTTAAAACGCATTTTAATTGTTAATTTATAGGATTTTAAATCTTTTTAAAAAGATGTTTAATCTTTTAAGGTTTTAATATTTTTATTGTATAATTTATATTTGTATATTTTGTCCTTGTTGTGAGCCGCCCCAAGGCTTTGTTGCGATGGGGGCGGCATAAAAATGTTTTAAATAAATAAATCTGGATTTTATGTGCACTATTTGTATTGGGTTTATTTATTGTATGTAAGCCGTCCCGAGGCTCATGCGAATGGGACGGCATACAAAAATTCTAAATAAATAAATAAATAAATAATGGCACCTGATTCCAGCAGCATGGGGGCCACCACTAAAAAAGCCTTCTCCCTTGCAGTCACCAAGAGCTCATGTGCAATACTGACTTACCCTGGTCAAGTAAATACTTTTGCCAGAAGGATATAAGGAAAATTGACTCTTTCCAATCTCTGCTCCTAAAGGACCAAACCAAAAGCTAATCCCCAAGTTGCAGCTGGCCCTCCTGATACATCCCTATATTGTCTCCAGGTTGCCAAACCAGAGGACCAGGATGCCTCTACAGGGCCTCCAGTTGCTAATCTGTAGTCGAGTACTTTATTTAGCAATGTGACAGGGAAAGGAGTTGAAGCAACCAGAAGATTATCTAGACCCTGAGAGCCAAATTCAATTTTGAAGTTCTTGGGGGCTAAAGAAGCTCTTGGGGCTGCTTTAGGTAAGGCCTACATTCAAAAAAGACCACATATTGCAGTTTAAAGCCCTCACTGCCAGTAGCTAAAACTTAGGAGAGGCAAGGCATACCATCCGTTTAGAACCTAGAAAGTAACTGTGCAGAAGCTGGAAAACTGTCAGTAATTGAAGCAAAGAAGGTGGAGCCAGCTGGGAAACCCCAGAGAGGGATTTGGTCACTGAGCCTGAGGTTCTGTAACACGGATATAGACTAGCCTCTTGCCCAAAAGGAAGACCCATGTGCTCAACACCCAACTACAGATCCACATGAGGAATCCAGACCACAAGTTTACCATGATGAGATCATTACCTTGGCCATGAATACTGCTTCCTAGGCTGTGAGTTACCCATCCCTCACTTCCTCATTCAACAGAATTGACCACAGGAGTTGGGAACACCCGGTAGCATATGTGGCCCCAACTCACATGAAGAATCCCATGAAATTATATGAAAAGGGTACGTGGAGTTAAAGCATTCCATGTGAAGGGCAATGCACATGGCCAATGTAACACAGCCCTATAAACCAGGCTGGCCACAAGCCACCACCTTGCATGGAGACAAACCCTTGGTCCACCCAACTCAGAATTGTCTACAGAGACCAGCAGTAGGTCTCCAAGGCTTTAGGTGGCCAATTCCAGGCCTACATGGAGATGCTAAGGAATAAACACTAGCCAACAGAGCAGACACCATAAGAGTGTGCTACAACTCTTCCCAGAGTTTGTGCTAGCCTGCCACTCTACTGGCTGGTTAACTATGTTCAAATATTCCATGAAGCCAAGAATTCCGTGGTGTAAGTGGCAGCTTCCACCACTCTTGAGTTAGCAGTAGGGGAACTGGCTGGGGGCAGGCAATATCATGAGGACCGCTGGCTGCCCTAGCCCTGGCATAGCCAGGCACGCACAGCAAACTTTCTTCCACTGGCCACCTGCTGTAATGGTGGGCTTCTCCAAAAGAGAAACAAGAACTGAAGCAGGCTTCAGCGGCAAAGGGCCTAAAAACACCTGACTCCATCTGGCTTCTTGTGGGAACTGTGGAGAACCTTTTCCATGCATCCTGGCTCTCTGCTTCATAAACTATAATATAACTATGATAGTTGATTGGACCTGGATCTAGAAAGACAGTCAGTGTTGAAAGACCTTCCAAGAAGATACAAATGAGAGACTTGGATTTTGGAAAGTCAGGGAAACCCCAAATCTTTGTTGCTCCTCTAATAACATGAATGCAATTTTAGGATATTTGAGCTTTATTAACACCATTGGACTGGTCAACTAACCAAATCCTTTTTTTCAATCCATCAAATGCTCAGCCCTACTTGCCAATATGTCTATAAAAGTTCTTGACCCATACACAAAAAATGACTAGCCTGTACTTAGGTTAGGCCTTTGTGGTATATAGACAACTTGAAAGGAAGGAAAGAAAAAGGAACCAATTTTGTTTCTGTTCACAGACACTTCACTTTTGGTTATAGGAAGAGGAATCTTTCTCAACAAGTAAGCATCTGTTTACAAACCATGAGACTGAAGCTGCCATCTTGAGGTTCCAGTTCTAACCTTACATGAGAATCTAAGGCGATTGAAGTGCAACAAAACAGCACTGTATTTTCTAGTCTCAGAACCCAGCATATCAGAGAGAACTCAATTTCTGAACTGATATACTAGGAATATAAGTTTTCCCACAAAGAGTGGGAGAAACATCCTGCCGGGTAAGGAAACAGGATGACAGATGGCGTTTCAGCGGTCCAAGAAAGACGTGATCATGGCAGAGGCCGGCCAAGATTCTGCCATCAAAACAATATTGGTTCCCCTTGAGAGCCACAGGCATTATATTATGCCACAGTGCTAGCCCACAAATGGCTACAGTGGGACATCAGTGCATCAACCAGCAAGAGCATGGAGAGGAGTGTTCTTCACGGCCACTCTTTCCCCCCATTCTGGAACTCCCTCCTTCAAGAGGCTGGCCAAAACCCAAGCCTGAGTACCTCTTTAAGACCAATCTTTTGGGCTGGCCTTTGGGACTCAGGATCAAGTTGCAAAAAGATTTGTCACAGCAGAAGTAAGTCAAACTGTTCTTCTGTTCTACAAGATAAATGTATGTGTTTAGTTTTATTACCCACACCAAGTCTTGGAGATGAGGCAGGCTACATATCCCTCAACTGTGTGAAGGGATTGAAGGTAAATCTTTCTCTCTGGTCTTTGTCTTAAAATCTAGCCAGCATCCACCAACCAAGAATCCTTCTAAATGCCTGATTACTTAGAGATTTCTGCTTGAGATATCCTAGCAGAATCCTCAAAAGATCTCCTGACAGCATGATTCCAGTTATATTCACAATAACTTATAACATCTCAGAAACTCCACTGCATGAGGCTGACATAAAAATTCCATATTGGGGTTTATCTCCTCTGACATAAATGAGCCACTGTAAGCAATGCCTGCTGTAATATATCATCTAAAGAGCATTTTGCAATAGCATAACTTTTAACTTAATGCTGGAGGGAGAGGGGAAGCCCAGCAAAACTTTTAGTTATAAATGTAAGGTATGTTTGCTGAGTAGCCCCTGCCATTTTTCCAGCTCTCCAAATATTGGAAAGGATCCTCCACAAAATAACATATTATTTGTTATAAATATCAAATAAATAATATCTAACAGCTTCCGCATAGCCTGAAGTGCCTGATCCTGTCCAATCTTGAAAGCTAAGCAGGGTCAGACATGGTTGTAACCTGGATGGGTGACTAAAATGTTGCGAACTGTTCAGAGAGCTTTGGCTATGGGCAGTACAGAAATACTAGTGTAACAACAACAACAACAACTTCCCACACATGCAAGCTTAAACACAGCTCATTCTATACTGCAGTCACTTCAGCAGGATTTACAGCTCCTGGTTTAAAGGAGAGATCCTATGCATGTTTAGATAGGAAGAAGTCCTACAACACCCAGCATGCCACAGCCAATTGCAAGACTTATTTATTTATTTATTTATTTATTAAAACATTTTTATGCCGCCCCATTCGCCGAAGCCTCGGGGCGGCTTACAACAATAAATTAAAATAACATTTTAAAATATATACATTAAAATAAAATACAAATATACGATATAAAACATACAATATAAAACAAGCTGCGGGACAACATCTTAAATTCATTATGTGGGACAACATCTTAAATTCATTTCAACTGAGCTACAGTTCTTACGGCATTTTACTGATTTACGTTTATTACACTGCTATAACTGTTTCACTTGCATTGCAAACCTCCCAGACTAGGGTTATAGGGTAAGCAATCTTTCCTTTGGGTTTGGATGCCACAGCAAGTGCGGGGGTGACTATGAAACCCCCCAGCAAGCTTGGAGTGGTTTCCTAAACACCAAAAATCCACCCTGAGGAAGGCAGGGGAGAGGTTCTTGGTTTGAACTACAAACTAAGCCACTGTGACTTCAAAACTTAGCATTTCAGGCAAACCCACTCAGCAGATCCGTTCGCACAATCATCTTGACTGAACAGACAAACCCATGTAGCTTCTTGAAGACACACCATGTTGCTGCATTTTCCAAACCCAGCCAGCAGGGCTTGTTGGAGGAAGAAATAACCTTCTCATAACCCAACATGCCCATGGCGTGTTGTGATCTCAGAACCCAAAATTGCAGTTTATCAATGGCTCATTTGAGCTACCACCTGTGAAAACAGCTGGAAAACAAAACTCTTCCAAAGGCTGCCAAAATGAGTGGGGGAGAAACAAACCAAAATAGGAACGAGCAAACCATGGTTTGTCTGTCTATAATTCACGGCTAAAGCAACAAACCATGATTGAGATAAATCAAGTGCAGACAGTATCAGCCACTTGGGATGAGAAGGGTTAGGGTTTGGGTTAGGAAGGGGAAAGCAGTGTTTATGCACTAATTCTTTGGGATCAGGGATGCCTGCTATTAAGAACAACTATAGAAATTAACAACGATAATGAAAACTTAGTGGCCGTTACAAAAGTCTTGGAAGAAGAGCCATTACCTGATTCGCATACTACGCATCCTGGCTTCAGCTCCAGCATCATGGTGATTAGAGAGATGTCAGTTGAATACAGAATCTGCGTTCGGTGTGGGAGGTTCAGAGTCCACAACTCCGGTGTTGGATGAAGAACATACACCCAGCCGCCTTTGCTGCAAGTCACCTTGGAGCCATACGGTTTGCCTATGAGGTCAGTGGAGTGCCGAATAACACCATACTTTGTCTGAGTTTTGCTGCCATGTTGCACCTTCACGGGGAACATTGACTCATGGCCTAAGAAGACAATAGCTGTGTCCCCTTCTTGTATCGTGCTTCTGTATTCAAGGAAACTCATCGTGACCACCTGGCTGTGGCAGTTTAGTTACAGCTAAGGAAGAAGGAAACACATGTCAGAATCTGGCTGCCCCTTCAATCTGCGGAGTGTTAATTTTTTCTGTACTTCTGCCAGCCTCAAAGTCCCCCAGAGCATGTTCATATTTTCTTGTGCCTTGGTGGCCCAGTTTCTACAGGCACTCAAAATCTTGGTTCACTTTTAGAGGGGACAAGTCATATACATGCCAAAAACAGTCAATGGACTAGAAACATACCACAGAAACAATGCACACACAGGGGAATTGGTTTCCAGTGGTTTAAATATAAAATTTTGAGTGCTATTGGGTATAGAAATCTCAGTTCATAAGCTGTATTTAATCACAGCGTGATCTGGGCAATAAATAGGCTATTGCATGAGTGATAGAAATATATGATCTTGGGAGAGTCCAAAAGCTGTTTTAGGAATGTGAGTAAATGTGCAATACTTCTAAGAAATACCAGCCTTGGACAATTGATTGTGCATACATATATTTTGTCCAATCTAATATCCTAAGGGTGTAATTCAATGCACATTTAGTCAGAACAAAGTTCCACAACTTCCAACATCCCTCCACCCTTCCAGCCAGAGCGGCTGCTTCTGTGACGTGTTGTCAGGTTGTCTCTGACTTAATGGTGGCCCTACAGATGAAGGCCCTCCAAAATGTTGTCCTTCACAGTCCTGCTCTGCTCTTGTAAGATCATGGCTGTTGCTCCCTTTATGGAGTCCACCCATCTAATATTTGGTCTTCTAGGGCTGATGCAGGACTCTTTTTCTGTCTGCATGCACACCAGATTGAATCCTAGGACAATGTTTCTCCAACTCTGTGCCCTTCTGTTGTTTCGAACTACAATTCCAGCACACTTTTCCCATTCCAGGCACCTAAGGAGAGAAGCCTGCCATAGGATTCTTAACGTCTATGATCAGAGGTCAGCAGAAAGCCCTGAGATCCTAATCGGGCTGGGTCTACAGAGGGCAACTTCTACAGGGGCAGGACACTCTGAGGGAATAAATGAAGTATCTCCACCATCCTGGAAGAGGAGGACAGGTTTTTTCTGCACAGAAATCCACATGTGAATTGAACAGGAGAGCAATTTTAAGTATTAAAGCATATACAAAACTATAAGCTTTACATGGGCTTCCAAGAAGACCTCACTGCACAATGTATCAGAAGAACCACATTTCTTAAGCCACCTATGAGCAGCACTTTGCATTTTAAAATTAGATTTTTTTTGTTGCTGTTGTCTTCACTGTTATTCACTCAGAGGGCCATTACACCTACTGGAAATTTGACCCTAGAATTTGTTACACCTCTTCTGAGATGTAATAACATAGAATCACAGAAGAATAAAGTTAGAAGGGGCCATTCTGGATGCCAAGTTAATGCATCCCTGACACATGGTTGCATTTCCAATGAGTTCAGTGTGGGACAGCTCATAACCTCCCTAAGTACAGTCTTGAGACATGATTAAAAAATATATTAAGACTGCAGTCCTAGGCATGTTTAGACACAGAGGAAGCTCTCTAACTGCCAGCTTTCCCCTGCCAGCCATGGCTAGCTGGGGAATGCTGGCAGTTGAGCTTTTTTTCCTGTTTCAAGATTCATAGGATTGCCCTTAACTTGGGCTTCTCCAACCTAACATCCTCTGAGCATGTGGATTCGCAGTCCAACATACATGGAGGGTGTCTTCAGCAACATACATGCAGAAGACAGAAGGAAACAATAGCAAGGCCATTGTTGTACATGCACTTTCAGGGGAGAAAACCACACGGGACTCAGTAGGGTTTGTATCTGAATAAACAAAGCTGAAGAAAAGCCATTTTCATTCCATGGCACCATCAACATTAGATCTATTATCCCAAAGCCTACTCAGAAAGGATTCCTTTAAGAATAAATTACACACTGCAAATCCTCATAGAGCAGATTTCTTCCCCTCCCACTTTATACTCCCAACCCATGTACTAGTAGAATACAGTTGTCAGCCAAGTGCAGGTCATTCTAAACAGCTAATTCAGTGCTGTGAACCTGCACACTGATTAATTTTCATTCCCTATTTACATACTAACACAAATTTAACAGAGAGAGACAGAATACTTAGAAGGACAAAGGAACAGGCAGGTAGCACAAGAACTTTATGGCAGGGGTTGCTAGAATATGACAGCAGTGCCAAGTTTTTTAAATGGCATGGCTCCTGTACTATTAAGAGCAGTTGGACTGCAGAAATACAGCACGTGAAGCTTTTCCGGGCACACAGATAAGCAGGAGGAAAAAAAATCACCTGCTGGAATTTTGGGCATCAGACTGCTGTAAAAGAGAGGGCAGGGGGGAGTAGTTAAAACTATAGAAAAGAAGAGAAAGGCAATTTTAAACTGCACGAAAGAAAACCACAGAGAGTGTTGCTTAATAACTAGTACAGTAAGCCTCGCTAGAAATCGTTAGAAAGAAAACAGGGGTTGTCAGAGCGTTCCCCTGTGCTAGGGACAAGGGAGGAGTAACAGCAACAGTTTATTACAAGAAAAGCAACGAATTGTCTTGGGACTCCTTAACGCCTTACAGATTTATTATGGCATCAGCTCTCGTGGACTAAAGTCCACTACATCAAGGAACTGATAGCAACACACTTGGAAAGCGTTTCAAGGTGGCCAGATGCAGAAGAAGTGGAGGCCTGTACATCTTCGGTAACGGCACAGAAAATTTCAGCAGGCGGCCCCCTCTGCAAGGCAGCCCTTCCAGGGGCGGGATCCGTCCTCTGCTCCACCTGGCCACCCTTGAGAAGCTCACCTTCGCATAGCCGTGACCGATCTGAATTGCATTTCAACGTATATTGCATTATATTTGCCAAACCGCTTGGCTGGCGATGCTCAATCGATCCCGCATCCTCAGGGTGCTCATGCCTTTTACTCAGAAGTAAGACCCAGCTTGCTCCCTGGGCCAAGCCACGTGCAAGGGATGCCCCTCTCCCTCCGCGGCCGCCCGGGTTCCTGCAGCGGCAGGCAGGATACGTGCAGCCCTCTCCCGTACCTTTGCGGGCGCCTACGTGCGCGCGGGCAGGGGCGCGGGATCGGGGCCCAGGCGCGGCGGCCTCCCGCCCGTGCGGACACGTGGCTCGGCGACTTCCTCTGCCGTCGCGGCCTGCTGACGCTCCCTCGCCGGCTCCGGGCCAGACGAGCCGCTTCCTGGCCGGCTCCGCCGCAGCGGCTGCCTCCGGGAGGGGCGCTGCGCCCTGGGAGCTCGCTGCGCGGCAGCCCTGCGGCGGCGCCAGCAGCGGCCCTCTTTGCGGCAGAGGCACCCCTCTTGCGGGCGCGACCCCGCCGGGGAGGGCTCAGCCCCCCTTGGCCAGATATGCATATGCTAATTCGTTGTGGCTGGTGCGCGCTGGCAGAGCCCTAATCAGCTTGGGGTCAGGATAGCTGAGCCAGCACCTTCGTTCTTATCCATCTGCCCGATCCTTGAGGTTAGCAGATGGCACGGACCGGTGGCCTGGCTGGAGCCGGCCCAGCGAAGGGGCTTCGGAGTGCTGGCCTCCTATCTGGGAAACCCCTGCCTCTGAAAGCCAGGCATGCGCCACCTTGTCGCTGCAGCTCCTGAAAACCCTTATATTTCGGGAAACCTTCCTCACCTAGCCAGCCGCAGCTTTGCTGATCTTATTTTCAGCATGTTGCACTCCAATATAATTGGTGGCACTGAAAAAGGGTCCATTTGTCAAACTCTTGAGTTACATGGCAAGGAGTTCCTTGGGACGTCAACTAGAAACCTTGCTGAAATTAAGAATCTTCAAAGTTGGGATTTCTTCCCCAGAGGGGATACCTAAATGCATGGTGAGGATCATAATTCAGCACATTTGGAGAATCCACCCCAGGTTGGGGCAGGCTTTTCCCCACATGTTCTATCAAACAAGGGAAAAGTGGTTCCATGAATTGAAGCCTGTCCTTTCTGCAGCTGATATTTGCCTACATTTACATTCTCTGTAACCTGCTGCTGCTGCTGCTGCTGCTGCTGCAATCCTGTGCACTTTTCACAGGAGGTAAAGTTGCTTGCATTGCTGTGCGTGCACACTGATTTTTAAACTATTAAGTGGTTATCTTCTGGAAAGGCAATGTATACATTCATTAAATACCTGAAAATAACATAAAATCAAATGGGACTTGTGAGTAAACATCACAATATATTCTGTTGAATATAGTGCTCTCTAAGCAGTAAACTTACAACACACAGTAAATATTTTTACATAATACCTTTAGCAGCATGGCATAGTGGTTGAGAGTGTGGGACTGGGACTCAGGTGATCGTACCCTCTCAGCCATGCAACCAGCTGGGTGTCTTCGGGCCAGTCACAGACTCTCAGCCCCACCTACCTCACAGGGTTGTTGTAGGGATAGGATTGAGAGGAGGGGGGAAGATGTAAGTCCCTATGAGTTCTTTTTTTTTAAGAATATAAATCTAATAAAAACAATAAATTTTACATATTAGATTTTTAAATTGAATGGGTCAACAGTTTCTTGCACCCGAATTGTAGGCATGTTTACTTGAAAGTAAGTCCTGGTACGTCTCAATAATAGCTCTGTGAGATAGAACAGTATTAGTATCTTCCATTTTGCAGACAAACTACTGTTAAAAACAAGCAGCTTGCCAAAGGCTACTTAGTGAGTTCATGATTCAAGACCTCTGCCTTTACAGTGCAAACCTTCTCAGCAGCAAGCCCCATTGAGTTCAGTGGAATTTACTGCCAACTAAAGGGCATAAGATTGTAGCTTTCAATTCCAGGTTATACTAGCTCTATAGAAAGTATGGTTGGGATTGCAGGCCTGAAGTAATGATTGAGAAAACAACTTAGAAATACAGATGGAAGAAAGGGGGTTCAATGCACGAATGAGGATATGTATGCTTTACATGACAGCACATTCTTTTTTTATTAGACTATTATTTATGGAGTGAGCCAAGAAACTGCTCCAAAGCAGCCTAGAATACAGTTCACAAATGCTTTACGTACAAAGTAAGAAATTAAGCAGAATAAACATGCTCCCATCAATAAGATGGTATGAAGTTACCTTGTCTTTTCTTCAATCATTTATAAATCTCTTTACTTGTTGAAGAATGGGGAATATTTTGAAGGCTGAGTGAGAGTGTTTCTCCCTGTAACAATTGAGTGCAAGGAGTAAATATCCCCCCCATCTTATATAGTACACAAGCAGTATAAGAAGGAGAATTTTATTGGGCAAGAGATTGTTCCAAAAACTGACTCATGTCATCCTTTTTAAGCTGAAGGCTATGGGCTGGTTTTTCTCTCTGGTGGCTTCACTGCTCTGTATGGTTAACCCCCCTGCCCCACGTCTATCCCTTTTTGCTGATGGAATAATGGAGGTTGAAAACTGACCCTCAGTCATGCTGGCGAGGACAGACTGAACTCGCTGTTCCACTCTTTCCTCACCCCTGGAACAGATGATGCTGGGAAAGTCTGTCTTGGTATGAAGATGTTCCAGTGGCCACAATGCCCTTGGAGGTTGCAGGAGGTTGACCCAGGAGACGTGGTCCTTTGGGGCACCACCTCAGCTCTTCAGCATGGTGCACCTGGATATTGCTGTCCTCACAGACATGTCTCTTGTATCTGCCAAAGTCTCTTCCTCTCTTATTTGGTATTTTATTTTATATTTTTGAAAGCACAGCTGGAAGGCTGACCTGCTGCAAAGGAAGTTGCTGGCCTTTGGCATCTTCTTTAATTTGAGCAATACTACGAAGGCCTTCACCACATTTTTGGTTAAGTATACATCTCATAATACTAGACCTCAGGGTCAACCCTTGAAGCTGATTGGTGGAAGATTCAGGGCAGAGCAAAGGAAGGACTTCTTCACACAGTACACTGTTAAGCTGTGGAATTCCCTTCCCCAAAAGGCAGTGATGCCTGCCAGTTTGGATGGCTTTTGAAGGGAACTGGGGACGTTTTCAGAGGAGAAGGCTATCCATGGCTAATTGTCCTGGTGGCTCTAAGCATGCCTATGCACAGAACCTGCTGGGGAATATGGGCAGGTGGGTGGCCACTGCATGAAGAATGGGCCTGGGAACTCTTGGGGACGGACTGACACCACCTCTGTGGGCTCCAGAGGAGGAGCTGCTTCATTTTTCCCTTCCCTTGGTAAAGGTCAGTGATAGAATAACAGGCAGGGATTCTGCAGTCCTCTTTAAATTGTGTCACTCTTCCAATCCAAGGGATTGGACAGCTGTTGAAGGCACAGGGGGCTCTGCCACACAAGAAGTCGACAACTTCTTCCAGCCCACAAAACAGTGCTGATTTGGGGTTAAAAATAGGGTTGTCCGTGCTTCAGCTGGCCCCCCTAACAATGCAGTGTTTTGTTCCACAATGATTAACATGTGACAATGTCTTCATAGTTTGCATCTACTTATTCCTGCATGTGGAGTAACTGATACTGAGGCCAGTTGGAAAGCCAGCAGCTTTAGCTGCCATGTTTTCTAGCTTTGTTTTTCTTGGATCTGCTCCTGTGATAGGCAGAAATCGTTTGGGTGAATAACTGTGCGCTAGGAAAAGCTCCACCAGCTAAATTCCAGCAGGTCAAACTAGTTAAAGGCACAGGAGAGAGCCAGGTGAAAAAACAAAAGCTAAAAAAAAGTTGGCAACCCCATACTGGGTATGCCGAGGACGGAGACATTAAAACTCTTGGCAGCATCCAAGCCTGCTCTTGTAAATGTTTACAGTTTCAGAGGAACGAGGGAAACACTCCAGTGCAAGTGATTGGGTCATTTTATCTTCATGGAACCTCAGAATATTTCTTGGGCCCAAAAATGTCCTAATCCAATTAAAGGTCAACTATCAAAACACATCAGCATCACCATTCTGATTCTGTGTTTTAAACTGAGAGAGATACAGCGCTCTTCCCTGGACTTCATGGGATAATGTTTTCTAGGAAATGCAAGTAACAAAGATGCCTGAAATTATTTTATTCTCTAAGCCTAGTGGTTTGAGAAAACAATCAGCTGCCCATTCAGGGGAACGGCCCCTTCTCTTTCACATACGAGAGGAAAGTACTCATCTCTCAGAAAGAATTTGACTGTAAGGGTCATTGAAAGGACACAGTTTCAGAGGGTAGGATTAGTTTAGACATTCGAAGCCTTGTTTAAGTAGTCCAAGATCTAAATATTGCAGGATCCCAAGTAGTATAATGATCCATGGCTTCCTTTAAGAGCCATTGTTCCAGCAGTCACGTACAAACAGCCGAAGAGTCAATGCAAAACTTTGCTACAAACGAATCCTTCTGTTCAGAAAGTGCTATGTTGCAACATGAATTTCTCGCCAGATGCCAAAGAATAAGTTGCATTCTGGCATGCCTTACCACCTACATACTTCTGTTTATTCTCCATGTACCTCATGTGCCCATCTTGTGGCATATATAATTCCAATTTTTCAGCAGCAGTGGGTTTGCTTTTCTCATCCTTATGTTGTCTGGCATTGATTGCTGAGTGTTGACAGCTAAGTGTTTTTTCGTCTTAATAATAATATTAAGGGGATCCTTCTATACTTGAGATTCAGAGAGCATTAACTTGCAACAAGGAAGAGCTCCTTTTTAAAACTCAGACATGCATGAATGTGGAGGAAGCTTGCTAACATGGGTATCATTACATTTTAAAACCCAGTATAATTTGGGAAGCTGATTTTTTTCAAGGGTTAAAAACAAACGGGATGCAATCCTATGCATGTTTACTCAAAAGTAAGTAATTTTATGCTCAGTTGGGTCTAGTCTCTTGTAAAGTATCTTTAGCATCCCGTGCACACATTCCTGGCAGTAAGTTCCAATGAATTCCATGGGAATTCCTTCTGAATGGACGTGAATAGGATTGCTCTGAAAAAAGAAGCTGCACAGCAAAGAATAGGATGCGTGCTTTTCCCATGGGATTTAATTTTAATGTAGAGGCAGCAGTGAACTGAAACAACTCCTGATGAAAGTGAAAGAGGGAAACATAAAGGCACAACTGCTGCTGAACAAAAATCACGACTGCGGAGGAA